AAGTTGATTCTACATGCCTGCCACTACTCAGACCCACAGACGGCGCTTTCCATTGCTTTCTCCATTGCTTTTGCCTGCTTCCTTTCCTACCCATCCTACAGACAATTCTTATCCAGTGTAGTTCCATCAGTTGTGTTCTCCAATTAGTGTGAAGGAACACCTTTCCCCTTTGAGGCTCACCTCAAAAAAGAAAGAAAATAGTAACTGTTTTCTTTTCTTTTCCTTCTCTCCTCTTGTATTTTTCTTAATTTTTCTTCTTCAGATTTTATAGATAGACTTCAGGCCACTGTTTGTTTAGTCTATTTATATAACCACCCACTCAACACCAGGCTGCCAGAAATCAAGGTTTTATTGTATTTTCACTGGTGACTTGGATGAAAAAGTGAACACTTATTAGATTTGTAAATGACACAAAATTGGAAATGATTTTGGAATAGTTGATTTACTTTACTGTATTAGAAGTGATGCATCTGCAAAAATGAGACATAAGAGTTTTAAACTGGATCAACAGAAATAAAAATTTAAAATCACGGGAAGTATATATTACATTTTATTTTGCTTTGTGTATTGTATCCAATTCTGGGACCACACTGTAAGATGATTTCAGAAAAAAATTAACTATTTCAGAGAAAGACAATTAGGAGACTAGAAATTAAGTCCTATGAAGACAGAGGAAGGGAATAAGATACCTTTTCCCTTTAAAAAAGGACTGAGAGGAGATATAACATTTTTGAAAAATTGGAAAGAATGTCACACAGAAAGCAGATCAAGACCTGTTCTCTCTCATTCCTGAATGCAGGACATAGAGTTATAGATTTAAATTGCAGAGAGAGAGAGAGATTCTGATAAATATTAAGGAGAAAGAACTTCTAACATAAGAGAATAGAATTGCTCCTAATGAGTAAACATTGTGCAAGTGTTCAGGCAGGGACTTGATAGCTACCTATACATTAATTGGATTACTGTACCTAACAGGAGTGAACTGGTGGCTTAAATGGTCCATCTCTTCTGACTCCATGATTCTATGAATGTAAGTACAAATGAACTCCCAACAATGCAAGTTGTCCTAACTTACCAATCACTTATCCAGCCACCATTCAAAGCTAGGAGAACACTGAAAATTGAGACTTACGACTGGTCCTCAAAGTTGCAGCTGTTACAGCATCCCCATGACTACATAATCACAATTTGGAGGCTTGGCAACTGGTGCGTATTTACAATGGTCGCGGTGTGCCTTGCTCACGAGATTGCCATTAGTTACCTTCATAGCTGGCTTCCCACAAGCGGAGTCAATAGGGAAGCTCACAGGAAGTTGCAAGTTGTGATCACGTGACAGCCAGAAGTTATTGTTAATCAGCACAGTCATGTGACATTTCATTGTATGATCATACTGGTTAGTGATGGAGTTGCTGGTCTCAATTTACAGTCAAGCCTGTGAGGACTTCCTGTCATCATTTCTCTTCTGCTCGGAAAATTGACAGAGCTGTTGACTTCAATCAGATGTCTATTCTACATGACGAGCTATTATCTTCGCACACAACTCCACACCCTTCCACACCATTCTATGACAAATGAATGGACATTTCTGTTTGCTACTATTTCAGGGTAGGATTGGGGTGGGGGTTTCCAGGGTCTTAGGAAAAATAAAGAAGGGATGTGTGCAGTCATTCTTAAATGACTGTGGCTTGCAAGTTGAGTCACTGCAATTCAAACATTCCAGAAGGTCAAAAGCCAAACCACATACTGCTCCCTGCATACTGCAGCAGCTGGTACATGTTCAAGGGTGAAATTCCAATTGGAACATGCTATAACATTTCTGAGTAAATATTTATGCTCAGGAAGGTTAAAAAGCTTGGGGTATTAGGAGTTCTGGTCTTATTAATAGGCAAGCTGCCACTGAAGTCTCCTCACTGCGACCTGCCGGTGACCTCCATTTTCAAGTCTGGAGACAGTTGTGTCAGAAGAGACAATTAGAGTGAATCATGGGCCAGTGTAGGGTATTAGAGCAATACTTCAAACAAAGGAGATGTTTTTAAAAGGCTAATCATATGCCACTGAATCGTTCTTGATCTTTAAGAGATGGTTGGATCCTCTTTCCTGCCATCACTCTGCCCATCTGCCACATGTTTCAAAGATGATAGAAATTTTTTAAGAAACTATGTGTGATTTTTTTCATATCAATAGTGACATGCTTTGTTCTCAGTTCCTTTTTGCAGAATGGCAAAGCTTCTGAAATGAGGGTCTGAAATTTAATTTGCTAAAAGGAATTGTAGAAATGGAACATGTTGGGAAGCCAAGTTCATGTGTTCCGTCTTTATCAATCATGGGCATTCTGCAATGAAATCGTGTATTGCCGAGATATTTCTTACTGTAGATATTAACAACAGCATGAAGGGATTTGAGTGTCCCAACATTATTTTTCTAAATTTCCCCATTGCAGGGAAATTTCTTGCTAGTTTAACAGTTACCTATTACAGATGAATAAATATTTACGTTGATTTTTAAAAAAGCAAACCTATGGATTAATTTGGTAATTGTTCCCATGTTTCTTGATTATCATATTAACTGATGCAACTTATGAATCAATTATCACATATATTCAACAACATCATATTCCATGGCAAGTGATTATGTATTTAATTTGTCCTAATTTGTTCTTAGAGACAACTTGCATTTAATTTCCTTAAACCCAAGGTATTATTAAATGCTTAAACTATGTTATGTAAATTGATTGAAACAAAATTAGAATAAGGTAATTTTAGGAAGGAAAGAAAAATAATGTTAAACTCTGATAATCAGAAACTTGTGATGGATTCTTCCTTCTGATTCTAAACTTGAGTTATCCTAGTTTTCCTCATGGAGAATATTGTTTCTTTAAGCCAAAAGGGGAAAAAAGAATGGCTTCTGATTATCTGCAAAAATTACATATATAGCTATCTGTGTATCTAATTATTTTGTTCTCAAAGGCATACTTTCTTTCATGTGTTCTTAGGCCTACTTAAGCTGCTTGTCCAGTACTTAATGCACATTTTTTAATCATAAAGCAAAATCTTGTTGTTCCTAGCACATTATTTGAATGTTGCAACTTAAATGTTCTAATCTGTTGCTAATTTTTAATTCTGTTTTCTTCCTTCATATTGTTATGTCTTAAGTCTTGATTTTCTGAGCCATGTGTGCAGTGGTGGGGCAGACAGTTACTGGAAGGGCAGTATGTAAATATCTAGCATTCTGGAAGTTTAAAAATGGTTTTCCTTCCAGGCATTGGGCCAGGAAAATAGATAAGCTCCTCTTCTGACAGGTGGAGTGTAAATTTGATGGACCCCAGCTGTATATTGTCTGATATGTTAGCTATGCAGCGTGTTTCTTTTGTATTTGAATGGTTTTTTAACTGTGATCATTTTATTCTGTTTTGTTTGTATTTGAGTTATACTGTCCAGAGTTGCAATTCCAAGAGCTGGACAATTAAATAATTCTTCTAAATGCAAACATAAAGTTGGTTTCTGCAATTGTAATTTCTATGTTTATGCTCTCCGTGAGAAGTTCTCAAATCTTGGGTAATAACTTCTGTAGGATTGTAAAGCTGAGGATAGACCTACTCTGCCTAATTGCAAGGTCCCTTTTTAATTCTTGGTACCCCAGGATATACAATAACACCACTCATTGGGGAAAAAAACCCAATCAGTAACAGAACTCATCTGCCCATTTGACTCAAATCCCCAAAGAAACAGCCAGATCTAATAAGAACATCTGAATCTCCCACGGCATGTTGTCCTAGAGCAGGAGTGTCAAACTCATGTCATCACATAAATCGTCACGTGACATACTGGGAGTTTTTCCCTCTTCACTAAACCGTGGTTGGCGTGGCCAACACGTGATGCATTCGGCCCACAGGCCATGAGTTTAACACCCCTGTTCTAGAGGACAAGTGCTAAGAAGGCATTACTCTGGTATCCAGCAAGATGGGATGGTTTTATAGAAAGACTGTATCTTCTCTTCTCGCTCTGGTGGAGTGCAGAAATGGATGCTGCCTGAGATACTGGAGCAGGACTGTTCTTCAACACATTGTAGGGTCCTTGGTGCTCTTTGAGCATGGTGGTTTTCTTGTAGTTATTTCTTTACCAAACTGGGTAGCATCAGTGTTTATTCTTGTATCCATTGTTGTCTTGCAAAAAAGCCCTTAGAAGAGGGGAAACATGATCCCACCCAAGAATATCTTGATCCTAGCCAAAATTCCTCCAGTAGAATTTAGGATTGAGTTGGTGCTGCTGCAAGAGACTTTTCTGCTTTGACAATTCAGCTTTGGGGTACAAGCCTCTCTTGTTAGATAAAGACTGCCAGACTCATCCCTGATTGGACAACCAGTGGCATTATGATTCATGGAAAGGAGGGGGAAAAGAAAGCCACACAAATTTATTCATTTGGGAATCAGGGCATCATAAACTTTGAGAACGCCTGCTTTACATATATAAGAAAAAAATAAAGTTCCTCAGAGGCAGTATATTTTTTCCAACAAACCATAACAATGTCAACATCCCAGTTACCTCAATTATAGTTACATTGTAAGACTTTGGGGAAATGTTTTGAAAGATGATACATTAGAAATTTATGGGTAGATATTGGAGGAAGGTTGGGATAGTGACCATTTCTCCATGTATTCATCAGAGATTGAGCCAACTCCCATGGAACTACCTGCATAGCTACCATTTAGATCATAGGTCGGCAACTGTAGTATCTTTACGACCTGTGGATTTCAACTCCCAGAATATTTTGGCTGGTTTAAGAATTCTGGAAGTTAAAGTCCATAAGTTGTAGACACCAAAGTTGTCCACTTAGATTGCAGAAGTTCTGTGTCAAAAGACTTTCTTCTATAAACATTAGTATCTTAGTGATCTTCCTAAAAAACATTATTCTATGAGGGGTTTCTTTGTGGTTGTTGCTGTTGTTAATATCACCAATTATTTTTGGAACGAACTATTGCTTAGCATTTTTATGTCTTGCCAATACTGCATTAAAGCGTACTTATTTTAAAAGGCAATTTAATTTTTTTTTTCATAACAAGATTATTTTTCAGTCTGAGGAACTCATTAATAAAGTTTTAATCCACAGAAGGCTTATGTCTTATTTGGATTTGTTCAGTGCCAGTTCATTTCTTTTCTTGGCATGGCCTCTCTGAACTTGCCGAGCACGGGACCCAAATCCCAGGGTTTGAAGTGACTCTGTTATGTACTTCTGGCTTGGAGAGACACACAATACCACCAGCAACTTTGCATCACCACCTAAAAAGAATTAGGAAGATATACGTGTTAACTGATTCAATTGCCCCAATGCCAAACCTTGGCTCCAGAAAGCTTGGGGGATAAATGCTGTATAACAAAAACCACTAGTAAAGTACGGTTTGAATCATTCCTGTCTGACTAAGGAATGCAAAGATTAAGTTCTTAGGACCTGGTGTTGTAAAGGAAATTTTACAACTGAATTTGCTCTTAAATAAATGTAGTTGCTATGAAATGGGATAATTTGTGTTTCGATGGATGATGAATTGGTTAAAAAGCAAAGAAAAGTCTAGGAATAAAGAGACAGTTTTTTCAATGGAGGGAGTAAGAAGTGGAATCCCTGAAGTGCCTATGTTGAAACAAGTGCTTTTTAACTTGTTCACAAATGATTTTGACCCCTGGGTAAGCACCAAGCATCTCAAGTGTAGAAATAATAACAAATGGTGGGGAAAACCAAAACTGTTTTCACAACTCTTTAAGTGGCTAAAACATCAACCAAATGTTAATGTTAGCTAAACAATATTCAAAAAGGTCAACCAAAATAATTAAGGCATTCAAATACTCTCAATATGGAAAACCATTAGAACCTTTGGTATTCTTTATCTAGAAAACTTCAAAAAAGGCAACTTATAACTTCAAAAAAGGCAACTATGATCTTATAGACAACAATTTCTCATCCCTTGATTGGCAATTTCTATTCACTTGATGCAATACTGTTGAAGACCATTACAACATATTGTTGAGGAATGGAGAACTCTTCCTATGAAATATTTCTGGACTTTCTCAACCGTGCTAATATCAGATACATAATGTGGGTTCCAGACTGATGAGCTGTATTCGTGTATTGGTCTAGCAAATGAATAATGCTCTGTCTTACATATTGACAAAAAAAGTCAGAAAATAAAATACAGGCTGAATAGTGAAGATCTTGTTGATGATCCAAACTCTGTCAAGGACCTTGGAGTACTCATCTCTAATGATCTAAGTGCTAGAGCCCACTGTAACTACATAGCCAAAAAGGCATTAAGAGTTGTTAACATTAAGAGTTGTTACATAGCTTTTTCTCTGGTAATATTACACTACTAACTAGAGCATACAAAACATTTGCTAGACCAATATTTGGTCTGATCTAAGTATAGTACATAAAATTATATATTGCAATGTCCTACCTGTCAATGAATACTTCAGCTTCAACCATAACAACACAAGAGCAAACAATAGATACAAACTCAAGGTTAATCGCACCAAACTAGATTGCAGGAAATATGACTTCAGCAACAGAGTGATCAATGTCCGGAATACTCTACCTGACTCTGTGGTTTCTTCCCCAAACCCAAGAAACTTTAACCTTAGACTTTCTACTATTGACCTCACCCCTTTCCTAAGAGGTCTGTAGGGGGCGTGTATAAGCACACCAACGTGCCTATGGTCCCTGTCCTATTGTTTTTTTAATTTTTCTTATATGTATCCATGTATTCATAACTATGTTTTTACTTATACTAATTATCTTGTAAGCAATTGACAAACCAAATAAAATAAAAATAAATAAATAAAATAAAAAGGGAAAAGGGAGTGGGGATGACTGAGGTACATAAAATCACAGACAACATGGAGAAAATGGCCAGGGAGACTTTGCTGAAAATTCTACAACCGGGAATGATCCAAAAAAATTACTTGTAAGATTTAGGACAGTACTTCTTTACACCATGGATAATTACAACAATACATTGCTTTGACCACTAACTTGGCAGACTGGATAAATTTATGGACAGGTCTCAAAGGCCACTGGTCTAAAAAATTCAATATTCCTCCTGATTGATGGCAGTATTCCTCCATATACCAGTTGTAGGGGAGAAAAACAAAAGAGTATTTATTTATTTGTATTCCCCCTTCTGAATTTTTTTTACAAAGTACTCAAGATGACGAACATACCCAACACATCTTCCTCCTCCTGTTTTCCCTACAGTAAGAGCCCACTGAGGTGAGTTGGGCTGAGAAAGAGTAACTGGCCCAAGCTGGCTTTTAGGCTAAGACAGGACTAGAACTCATGGCCTCCTGCTTTCTAGCCTGGTTCCTTAACTAGACCAAACTGGCTCTCATCTCTTTTTTCATTCTGGTAATCATCTCACTTTACAATATACACGAGACATAGCCAAATAGTAGGAATCTTGCTAGAAAAATAAAAAAGTGAACAACTAGAAAATCTAGTGTCTCTCCTTGCTTAAAATAAGGATTTATCATCCTATCATTAAAGTCACCTATGTTTCTTGAAACCACGCTTCTATATCAACTATACATTTGAAAATTGGTATAGAAATACAACTTCATTGTATTAATAAGAGGCACATAAATAAGAATAAATATTATATCATACCAAGCTATACTCACCTATGGCATCCTGTAGCAAATGTGTAAGTTTGCTATTTCGATATGGAATGTGAGAGTTCTGTTCTGATAGGGCTCCAAGTACATCGGCTAGAGCAGACAAACTGCGATTAATGAAGGAGGTTTCTCTCAACAGTGACCCAGTTACACCGGACATACCTGGTACAATAATCACAAAAACCAACAAAAAACACATCTGAAAACAAAAGTAAACATTTTGCATAATTTCATACTTTTAGTTCCTGCGTATGCCACATTTGAGTTTGTTGGAGAAAAGATTGGAGAAGACTCTTGAGAATGCTGTGGACAGCCAAGAAAACAAACATACTTATTATTGAATTAAACAAGTCAGAGTTCTCACTCAAGCTACAAATAACCAAGTTCAAACTATCCTACTTTGGACATATGAGAAGACCTAGATCCTCACTGCTGGGAAAACTGGAAGGAAAGAGAAGAAGATGATGATTGAAGTGGATTGATTCAATTATAGTAATGATGATGCACCATTGGAAGACCTGAAGGAGCAAGTTAGGGACAGATCATCGTGGAGAAATCTATGTGATAGTTAAGAGTCCACAATGGCATGACAGCATATAAACAGGCAAAGAACAAGAAATGAATACAACTGAAGAAACCGTGTAGCAGGAAACACTATAAACAAACTTATTGATTTATACTTTGGCTTTACACAAGGTTGAAGAAATAGATATATAATCCAAACCATCAGGACAGAGAAACACTTTTAAGGCTGTGTTAAAATCTGTGAAATGAGTTGCTTCAACTTTTCTCAGGTAGATGCCTTTCATATGGGACTTCAACTCCCAGAATTCCTAGACATCAACAACCATGTTGCTTCGTATGTGCTAATTGTAGTCTGAGAAGTGTAATGTCACCATATTTAAAGAGAACCAGATTAGTAAAAGATTAATCTAAATAATAAAAGATGTACAGAGTTAATTTAAGGGATCCATGCAAAGCTTACAAGTAGCGGACCTCGCCCGAGCGCGAGACAAACGCTGAAGAAAAAGAAGAAGAAGAAGAAGAAGATGCAAAGCTTACAAGTGAAACAACTGTTCTCCTCACTTTGGAATTGAGTTGTTTTCTTTGAAAATTTGGGAGACAAATTTCAATACAGTCCACTTTAAAACATGCTTGAGATATATAGATATCAATGTAAAGACAAAGTAATATAAACAATGACTTGAAGGCACTTTTCTGGTAAGGTAATACTATTAAATTGTGAGGGATGGTACACATCTAAAATAAGCACAGATTTAATTTAAAAAACATTTTTTTGCATAGAGGTTCAATTCTCATTATTTTTAAGACAGTATTTATTTATTTAAGTTATTTACATAGCTGCGCATGTTATTTAAATTCTGGGCAGTTTCCAAACAAATTCTATCCCAAGTGAACCAAACCAGCATTTATCACATGAAGGAACCACTGACCACAAATATTACTTTGATGTGACATTCTTATAGTTCAATGATCAATTCAAATAAATTCTTCAGTTTTAAAATTCAACTTACGGTAAAAATGTATCCACAACATGACAATTTTGTGACAGAGAAAATCATGATAAGATTGTTCTCAGTGTTAGAAAAGTAAAATGTTTTTTTTCCCTTTTCTTTATCACTTCAGCAAAATCCTTCTGTAATCCTGATTAAGAGCACACTTGCAATCCTAACATGTTCGGAGAGAAACTCCCTGAATACAGCTGGATTTGATTCTGAATAAATGTGTTTAGGTTTGCTATACTCATACATTTATTACATAAATGTTAATATAGGTAAATTGGTATTCATCCCTGAAGTTAATGATGCCATCTGATACTTCCCACCAAGATCTGGATTTTCATAGGAAAAGACCATCAAATGGTTGTCATCAGTGAATGGTGGAAATGTATAATGTGGTTCAACAGCATTTTGGTGTAAAAAGCAAACTTTAAAGTTGTTTTTAAAGTTCACTATTTACTCTTAAAACAGCCACCAGAAAGAAAAGAAAAAAGAGGACTTGGCAGCTACAAAAAGAGTGCTTTTATAACCTGGGTTCAGTTTTCAAAGCATTATTTCTGGAAGGTTACATTTAACTAAGTGGCCTTTATTGGTGAAGAAGCTTATACTTTAGGAAATGATCAGAATTAGTGGGGAGAAAAAAAATCTGTGCTGTTAAAAAAAGAAAGAAAATATTTGGGAAAGGTAGAAGCCAAAGAAAACAGAAAATTGTTTATAAAATCATTAATATTCCTCTTACTATTATTTTCCATAAGGAAGCTCAATTTTTTATTTCTGCTAATTGATTATGTGCTATCATGTCATTTTCAACTCCACAGAGATATATTTCTCAATGATACGCTGTCCCTAACCTGGACCTTCAAGTCTTCCAAAACTCATTGACCCTGGAACTGAATCCATCTACTTTGTCCTCTTTCTCTCTCCCTCCTTCTTGCCCAGCCTTAGAGTCTTCTCCAGAGGGCTAGGTCTTCACAAATTAAGTGTGTGTTTTAACAAACATGTAGCATATTTACATAAGAACATGGAATAATAGGGTGGGAAGTGACCTTGGAGTTATTCTCGTCCAACTCCCTGTCTATGGTAGGAGATCCTATATCAAATATTTTTGCTTAAACAGCATAATCTTAACATGCAAGCACTCTAAATGGGTTTAACACAGTAAATATATTAATACTGCAGGACTGTTAGCAGTAACACAAACATAGCTTCCTTGGCTGGGCATCATAGCTGAGGAATCAGAAAGCTAACTTATTGGGGTGATTTGTTCATCCAAGGGACTCCCTTGCATTTCCAAATGAAGAGATTAGGCCTGGTGTACAGATGAAAAATGAACTGATTTCATGGGTGACTATCCTTATATAGCCAACTAACCATCTGTCAAGAAAAAGTATTAGGAGGGATAGAAGAATGTTAAGATTTGCCAAAGTTTTTGAGTCAAGAAAACCACTCAGAAATGGGATTAGAGGTTGACCATTCAACAAACTCAAAATGCTGACTATTTGGGATAGAAAGACAGAATGGGAAGATTGCTTGGGGGTTCGCAGGAGTTCAGGAGAGCCCCTAGCTAAGATTCTGTGCAGTTCTGAGAATCCCCAAATCCCACTCCTGGCTGGCCCCACCTACCCCTCCCCTCCCAGGAGTCCCCATGAGGCCCATTTTGGATGCAGGTAAGTGCAGGGTGCGCATGGAGGCTTGGGGAGGGTGAAAAATGTGCCTCCTGTAAGTTCGAGAAGACCGGAAATGGGCCAGTTTCCAGCTTCAAGAGAGCCTCCGGAGTCTGGGGAGGCCATTTTTGCCCTCCTGAAGGCTCGAGGAAAGCCTCTGGAGCCCGGGGTGGCAAAAATGCCCCCCTACCAGGAGGCTGACTAGGCCACACCCACCATGGCCACACCCACCCAGAAACCAGACAGAGAACCCTTTGTTAAAATTTTTGAAACCCATCCTTGGAAGATAGTATGAGACTCTATGGACTGGCATTAAGAAAGCTTCACATAGCCATGGAAGCTTTTTACACCAACTTACACCAACTGTCAGGCTGTGGGGCACCAGCACATTATGGTATAGCTGGTTGAATACTAAATAGTCAAAGGTCACGAAATGTAATGTTCTTGACCAACTCCCTTACTTTATTTTTTAGGGTAAAGCAATGCACGGATGTTCGTAGAGGACAATAAAACTAGGTCAAGCAAATGGTTAGCAGGGTTCTAACATTTGTGTGCCACCAGCATAACTTGATTTTTAAGAAGGCAACAACATCAACAAAAATCAGTACACTCACTTTGAAGCTTTGTGAAAAAATAAAAAGAGAAAAGAAATCAGAGGGCAGTTTAGAACTCTATTTTTTTTTTCCAGGAGAAAAAAATTCTGCCTCCTGGCTTCCTCATGAGCTTGGTGCTAAAATTGGCTTCAAACCATTAAATAAAGGTGGTGACATTTTCAGTGGGTTTCTTACCAAAATGAGAAACAGAAGAAAAATGTCAAACTTCCAAGAGACTTCACAAAGCAATTTAATGTAAGACCAACCTCAGAACAAATGGAGGGGGAAAGAGCTTTTTTCCACTCCTGATCTTTTCCTATTCACCTACACAAAAACAAATGTGGTTTGGGGGCTGCTCAAGCATTGCCTATTCCCATTCCCCAGCTTGACATCAAAAATCTAATTTGATGGATTTCTGATGGGAGCTTCTACATATTGCACGTACCTTCGGAAGCTAAATGCAAACTAGGCTTACCTCTTCACAAACTTACCAACACTTTCGCTGCCCGCTAAATCCACCAGCTGAAGTTTTGTTCTCATTTGCATCGGTCTCTCCACTGATTCCCTGGAGAGCTGTGCTGGTGAACAAGCTCTAGAAGAACAAGCAGCAGTGAAGAAATGTTCCTTACCTAGTTTTTGACTAGAATGGTCACCTGTCCAGGGAGGAGCTGGATAATAATAAGAAAAAAAAAGTTCATTTTGAAAATTAAACATGCAATAGATTTGAATCATTTCAAAAGGCCTGCAGACCTAAAGCTAAAAATGTTACAGCTAGTCTAATAATGAAAGGCTAGACACAGAGATAATATGATGCCTGCCCAAAACGTATGGATGCTTGCCAATTGTTTACTGGACACAATTCAACTTTAAAGCCCTAAATGCCTTAGAGTCTGACTAGTTAAGGAATCTTCTATCTCATTATGGACCTGTCCAGTTGTTAGTAGGAGAAGTCCTCTTGAAGATAACTTCACTAACAGAATTTAAAGTCCTTTTGTTGCTTTGTTGTTGGGGTATGAAAAATACTCCTTAGGAATTATATATGGCTTCCCCCACAACTGTGTTTAGGAAATCTCAGAGGTGTCTACAGGATCAAATGTTTTTAGCAGCATCATGCCATCATAGGGTGAGGCCCTCCCGTTTTGTAGGGATGTCACAACGCAAAATGCAGAAAAGAGGCAGAGTACAGGTAGTCTTTGCTGAAGGATCAATTGTTCGGCCACTGTTCAAAGTCATGATGCTGCTGAGCTATGAGGATAGCTCATAAGTGGTACTTATGAGCAGTCCTCATAGTGGCAACTGTTGCACATGATCACAATTCAGGCACTTGGTGACTGGTTTGCAATTACATCTCAACGTCCCACAGTCCCAAATTGTGATCACAATGTGTCTGAGTCAATGGTGAAGCCAGCAGGAAAATAGAAGTCCTCGCTTAACAATTGGCATAGTCCTTGCTTAATGACAGCAACTGAGATTTCTGGAAGTTCTGTTGCTAAGTGGTGTAATGGCATGACACCACAACTGTGCTGCTTAGTTTCTAATTGTCTATGGAGATTCCCAGTCATCCAGATCATGGTTGCCCACAGGTGCTTCTTCAGCAGGGGTGGGATTCAAATTTTTTAACAACCGGTTCTGTGGGTGTGGCTTAGTTGGGGTGTGTGGCTTGGTAGTCATGTGACTGGCTGGGTGTGGCCAACTCAACATCACTCACATTGAGGCTTCTTGCCTGGCCTCTCATGACTGTGGGGATGCTGCAACAGTTGTAAGTGTGAAAAATGGTCATAAGTCACTTTTTTCAGGCCATTGTAACTTTGAATGGTCACTCCACACAAGCAAAGTACCAGCAAAGGAGGGAAAAAAATCCTCCAGAGAAGTTCCAGAGACAGGAAGTCTAGTCCTGCCAAGAATGTAATAAGAGTTAATGGAGAGGCAGTTTCTGTAAGCAACACCAGAATGTTTCCTTCCTATCTTCCTTACAGGATTAGGCTAGTAATTTCTTCTAACAACCGGTTCTCCGAACTGCTTAGAATCTTAACAACCGGTTCTAGTGAATAGGTGCGAACCTGTAGAATCCCACCCCTGTTCTTCAGAGCTGAAGAAGCTTCTTGGATGAGAAGTGAAACATTTTCAAAGAAACACCAGAAAGTCCAGTTGCCTCTTGAAAAAGCACCTTGAGAGTTTCTAATCTCACTTACTGTTAATGAGCAAGGACTTCATAAAATCACACAAACACATGAAATCTTATTATGGTGTGTATGTGTGTGTGTGTGTGTATGTATGTATGTATGTATGTATGTGTATATATATATATAT